ATTGCTTATGTAATATTCAGATTACGGAATAGGAACCAATTTTGACTTCTTCTTTTTTAGAGACTGGTTAAATATCTTCCTTGGTCGATGGCTTAGTGATCACTGAAGGCCGCAGTAACGTTGACGTCCAGCTGAGGGGGGGGGGAGGGGGGAGTAGATGGGAGAAGGAGGGGGGAGTGGTAGAGAACACTGGAGGAGGAATCAGCGTGAACGAGGCTTTTGTTCCGGTTGGCCTAGCCTGAAATGTACAAGATTGAGTTTGTTTGTTTGTTTGTTTTACAAATTGGATGATCTGTCTTCCTCTCTCTCTCTCTCTTTCTTTCTCTCTCTCTCTTTTCTCATTTTTCTTTCTTTTTTCTCTTTCTTCCTATCTCCCTTATTAAGAGATCATAGGTAAACTAGTTTTTCTTGTACGAAATTAAATTATTAAAAACCTTGAAATTACTTTGCCCTTTCATTTTTTATCATGCGGATTTCATTAACAGACAGAAATCCATGAATAAAGAATGGCAGCCGACTAGATTGATAATTGAATAAATAGGTAGACATCGACAGAGAAACAGACACTCATATATCGATACACACACATCCATACACATCCACACAGCCAAACATACACCCATACAAACGCACAGCCTATTTAGTTACTATTACTATTTTCCTACAAGCAAACATACACCCATACAGACAACACAGCCATACACAGTCAAACATACACCCATACGGACGCACAGCCACAGAGGCAGACATACACCCATCCATAAATCCACCCATCCACCTACACAGACTGCACACTCATCCACCTACACAGACTGCACACCCATCCACCCATCCTCCCACACAGACTACACACTCATCCACCCACACAGACTGCACACTCACCCACCCACACAGACTGCACACTCATCCACCCACACAGACTGCACACTCATCCACCCACACAGACTGCACACTCATCCACCCACACAGACTGCACACTCATCCACCCACACAGACTGCACACTCATCCACCCACACAGACTACACACTCATCCACCCGAACTAATATACCCAGCTGGTCCTTACATTCTCCCCTGTGACTCAGAGTGAGTCCTCGGACCGAACACTTGTCCCCCTCCAAAGCGCACTCGTTGGCGTATGTCTTGCCGTTGCTGCCACACACCGGGTCGTAGTTAAAGGGGCAGGCAGTCGGGCAGTTACCTTGAGAAGGAGCTGCGGGCAAGAGTGTTGGTATCATCGTCGTTTATATCATTACCGTTATTGTTGTCATTATTATTATCATTGCAATTTTTTAAATTAATTTATTACTATTATTATTATTATTATTATTACTGTTATTATTGTTCTTCTTATTATCGTTATTATCGCTATTGTTATTATTGTTATAATTATTATTATTATGACCATAATTATTATTATTGTTGTGGCGGTGATTCTATCATCATTATTACTATTGTTACTTTTTATTGTTATTACAAATGTCATTACCACTACCATTATCATTATGATTTGATTATTATCAATTATTATTACTAATTTAGTATCATTTTATCATTATCATTATTATTATTAGTTGTAGTTGTAGTAGTAGTAGCATTGTTATAATTATTTCAATTTTCATCACCATCATCATTATCATCATTACTAACATTTTTATCAGTGTCGTCCTCATCAATCTTGTCAATATCATCATCTTGACTGCTAATATGCCACTCAAAACAATGATGTAACTATAACATTAACATTGCAATCTAGCAATTACCGTCTACATTAACACCAACACGAATAAATAACCTTAAATACCACAAGTAACCCCCTATAAAAAATATGAACTAAACAACCACCACATAAGTCAACAAAAATAATATAGATACTGAATATGAATAATAAATAATAACTGAAAGAGAGAAAGATCACACACTACTGCATTCTCCTTGGCTCACGACCCTGAGTCGCGGGTTCCTGCACCTGGCCGCCCTAAGATCGCACTGGCTGGGGTATGTCTTCCCGTCGCTGCCGCAGACAGGGGCGTAGATGGCGGGGCAGGCGATGACGTCACAGCCAGAGCCCGGCCTGAATCCTTTGAAGAGCGAGGGTTGTAAGTTACGTTTTTTATATAAAGCTAGGGATGATTAGATTATATATATATATATATATATATATATATATATATATATATATATATATGTATATATATAAATATATATATATCTATACATATATAACTACTTCATTTCTCGTCAGTATGGGTTGCTCACTTACCTGGGGGGACGGGGCTCCTGGCCTCGGCAGACGCCACCAGTGCCACCACGAGCAGCCCGAAAGCGAGGGAGAATCTGGCCATGACTGTCCTGCGGGCGGAAGGGAAGGGAAACAACGTCAGGGACGAACTGATGTGTATATGTATATAGATAAATAATGTTCTTACACACATGTGTAAATAAATATGTAAATATATGTATATATTCGTATATATGTATACATATGCATATATATATGTATAAATATATGTATATATATACATATATTTATACATAGAAATATATTTACGTTTATATATAAAGATGATGTTCTTACACATATGCAAGTATATATATGTGGATATATGCATATATATACGTATATATATGCATATATATGTATAAATGCATATATAATTATATATATGCATATATATATACATATATATATACATATATATATATATATATATATATATATATATATATATATATATATATATATATATATATGATGATGTTCTTACACATATGCAAATATATATATGTGGATATATGCATATATATGCATATAAAGTATATATATGCATATAAAGTATATATAAGCATATAAAGTATATATATGCATATATAATTATATATATGCATATATATATATATGTATATATACATATACATATATATATATATATGCATATAATTATTAGTAAAGCCTGAGTTGACGATCCCGGATTATGCAAATAACAGGTCGTAAGCCGATCTCACTGTGTAGCCGTCGGTTGGATACCTTTTCCTACAGCTGTACTCCAGTCTCCTAAAATTCTCATTACTCATTACTGATTGCATCAAGAGTCGCCATCATTAATTGCGAGACTCACATAGGACAGCAACATCGGTAAAGTCGAGGTCGGTGACTTTGATATTGCCCAGTGTTCCTCCACAGTGTTTTTGGATAGTAGCTCTGCCCATTATACAGTCCATGCAAGCGTTGAAGTGTTGGTACAAGGACACGACTATTCTCCTTCCTGAGTTAACAGGAAAGAAACCCGATAAGCCCCTTACCACACTTTACAGCACTTTCACCACCACTATTTAGGCTTGCTATTAAGCCAATAATCCGTGTCAGAAGTCCCCTAAGTAACAGGGTCTCCCATAGCGATTTGTGATGCACTGAGCAATGTACGGAGCAGTGTGATATCACGGTAGCTACTACAGTCCCACGCCCCTCAGCTGAGCAGGGGGAATGGATCCGAACTACCAGATGGCAGCCAAGACCGTATGCAAGTCTCGTGCCATAGGTTCACCCCCAGCCTTTAGCAGTTCAGCTTATAGATCGCTTCCCTAGTCTCAGTTAGGGTAGGAAGTTCCTCGCTAATGCGTGGGTCTGGCACTAGGATTATGACACCACTTGCGAAAGCCTGGAAAGCTGCTCAAAATACTCAGTCCAACGTTTACGAACCTCAACATGGTCTGAGTTGATCTGGCCATCCCTTGAGCGGACTGCAGTCTATATATATATATACATATACATACATACATACATATATATATATATAAAGATATCTTCTCACACACATATATGAATATGCATATACAAATATATATACATTCGTATATATATATATATTCATATATGTATGAGAATATAACTTTTATACGATTATATATATAGATGACCGTGGATGGATGTAGATGGACAGATTATATATACATATACATATATACATATATATTCAGATATATACATATATACATATATACACATATATTCATATATATACATATATATTCATATATATACATATATACATATATATTTATATAATAATAAACATGATAATAATGATAATAGTAATAACAGTAATCACAGTGATAGCAATAATAATAATGATAAAAATAATTATGGTAATTATCATTATTTTATTATCATTATCATTACTACTACTACTATTACTATCATTAGTAATAGTACTGTGATTTCATACCACTATCTTTATCACCATCCGTATCATAACAAACAAAAGTGAGAAAGATCACGTGAACAATAATGCCAACGTGAATAATATAAACATAACGTTTCATTCCAAGAACACGTTAGTGAAGTCTAACAGACAGCAACACATAAATCAAAGAGATCTGCTGAACACCCCTGAAGACTTACCGGAATGAAAACGGATTCGAAAACAGGGAGGTCGACCGCACACCGCAAGAGCCTGGAACCAACTGTGGTGCAAAGCCCAGGGATCCTGGTGATAAAGATTTCGAAGGACCAGATTGCTGACTGGGGAAATCCCGCGCTACGTCATTCTGTGGAGGATGCAGGTAGATTATTGCGTATTTGCTCCCACGTTTTTTTTCTTTTCTTTTTTTCAGAATTTAAAAATTAAAATTGTCCTGTTCTGTATTAATGTACGATATCTGTGATTTTATATGCTGAGGTTTCTTTGAAAATTTTTATTATCACTCTCCCCTCTCGTTTTTTCTCCCCTATGCCCCTCCTTGTCTCGCCATCTCTCTCTTTCTCATTCATCATGTATCTGGTCTTCCTCTCTCTCTCTTATCATATATATATCTATATATATATATATATATATATATATATATATATATATATATATATATATGTATATATATATATATATATATATATATATATTATATATATATGTGTGTGTGTGTGTGTGTGTGTGTGTGTGTGTGTGCGTACGTGTGCGTGTGTGTGTGTGTGTGTGTGTGCACATATACACATTTGTGTATGTATGTGTGAGAGCTCTCTCTAACACATACACGTGTGTGTGTGACATAAAGTATGTGTGTGCGAGTGTGTGTGTGTGTGATTGTGTGTGTTAGTGTGCCTATGCGTGTGTATAGTTAATGATATTCCTCAAACAGAAAAGAGTGCAAGGTCGTGAAATGAAAAAGCTCAAACAGGAGAAAGAGAGAAAGACGGCACTAAAACAAATGAAGGAAATAGAAAATAACACAAGAACAACAAGGAACAGGCAGGCCTAAGATGAAGAATTTCTATATCTGTTTATCCATCTCTCGATAGATACATATCTATATATTATGTGCAATTTAAATATGTATATTCATATAAATTTATACATAAACACACACACATAAAAACACACGTGGATGTGCAATGTATATATATATACATATATATTTAAATGTATATGTATATATGTATATATATGTATGCAAACATAAGACCTGCAATATCTTTCATCCACGCACAGTCATTATCTTGTCCTAACCCCCACCTCCTCCCAACGATCCTACAGTGCTGTGTCACGTTTACCTCCGCGGGAATACCACGCCCTTCGACTATTCTGATATTTCAAACAGTGTATCTTGCCGAGTCATTTAAACACATTATATTCTCCAGCCTTGCCTCCCACAGGAAGACAAATGTTTGCGTGCGGGGGTATAAGGAGCATATATATCTGTATGTGTGTATATACATATATGTGTGTGTAGGTATGTATATTTGTACATACATATATTCAGACATGTACATCTGTGTATAGAAAAAAATATATGTATGCTCAGACACACACACACACACACACACACACATATATATAGAGAGAGCTCCTTTCCATCCGGAATCAAATTCCTCTTTCCCAAGAAATCAAAATTCTTTTTATTCATGGAGGTCCCTTGCAATTCGGTTCAAACAGACAACCGAGCGATTTATTTAACTTTCCTTTGAAGAGACATTGTCGGGCTAAGATTATCGGTGATTCTGGTCCAGGAAAATGTTTAAATTAGACATTATTGTCAAAAAATATGTATTGTGCGTTATGCCACGTGACTCTCCCCACCTTGGAAGTTGCAGTTGAAATTCCCCGTGAGTCATTTGCCAGTTTAAACACCTCATTTGAATACATATATTTTGACAATCATCTGTGTTAAATGATGCATATGACAATGTGAAGAATGACATATTTTAATAGCAAAAATTGTTATACATTAGCAACTGGTATGGACAGTGAACGTAGATATATAAATGATATAAAGATACTTATAAATGATATATAGACATTTATAAATGATATAAAGCGATGTATAAATGACATTAATAAGAATATATTAATGAGTGCCATAGATCCATATAAATGGTATAAACAAATCTGTAAATGATGAAATATGAAACTGAAATATGCAAATGACTTAAACAGGAGTATGTAGATGATATAAATCTATAAACGCCATAAACAAAATATATATAAATGATAGAATCAGAAATATATAAATGATAGAATCAGAAATATATAAATGATAGAATCAGAAATATATAAATGATAGAAACAAAAATATGCAAATAATAGGAATAACAGTATATAAACCTATGACAGGAAAATATGCGAATTTACAAACAAAAAAGTGAAAATACGTATCTGTATGTATATATGCACAGATAAACAGATAAAAATAAATACATACAAAAGTCCCACAAACATAACACTGTTAAGTACATTTCATTCTCAAAAATAATAATAATAATAATAATAATAATAATAATAATAGTAAATGAAAAAAATACGAACACAATAGCGAAGAAGAAAAATATTTACACCCTTAACCCTGAATACAAGAACAGGCACACTTTGCATGAGAAGAATAGTGAACAGCTAAGAATATTAGCAAATGTTCTTAGAATGTACATATTCATACATAGAGATACAGAAAGATTCACCGCCGAAAGAGAAAATTGGTGTCTTATTTTCACTAAAATTGGCGTGTTATTTTCGCTAAAATTGGGGTGCTATTATCGCCAAAATTTCCTTTCCTAAGAATTCGCTTCACATTAGATTTTTTTCTTGCACTGTATGTTTTAGATTTTGTTAATTATTTTATTTAAGTACATCTTCACACTGAAAAAAAACGGGAGGGGACGGGAGGGGAAAAGGGGAAGGAGCAGGGGTGCGAGCGAAGGGAGCGTAATCAGAGAAAGAAAAAAAAACGTAAATTAGCTATTCTAGGGGCAATTTTAAAGCTATAACCAGAGCTGTATGGGTGTAATTTAGAATGGGGGGAGGGGATGATAATAATAATAATAAAAAAAGGTAATAATGAAAATAAAAATGAAACAAAATTTAAAAATAAGAGAAATCAAGAGACACAAAAACCTATCCTGCTGGCTCTTGGGGAAAGTTATACAGAACACGTGGAGGGCAGTCTTCAGGGAAGTAACTGTACGCTCCGCAGGTCCCTTTACCCAATTGAAGCCCTTGCGTTTCGAACCAGCGCGAGAGAAGTTCGAAACGCCTTTTCGAGCCTTTTCGATCGCGAACAAGAGAGTCGGGTTTAGAAACAAGGGTGAGAATGAATAATGTGGCAAAGGTGTGTGTGTATGTGTGTGTGTGTGTGTGTGTGTGTGTGTGTGTGTGTGGTGTGTGGTGTGTGTGTGTGGTGTGTGTGTGTATGTGTGTGTGAGTGTGCATGGGTGAGTGTGTATGTGTGTGTGTGTGTGTGTGTGTGTGTGTGAGTGTATGCGTTTTGTTTCTTCGGATTCTTTAAACTCAGTTGTCTATAAAAATTTACGGGCGATTGAAGCATTTATATATGTTCTTTGTACTAACAGATATAATCGCCATGACATAGTTCTAGCGTGTATGCATATAAATATATATATAGAGATAGATAGATAGATACTTGTAGAGGATGAATGCTAGTTGCCATTTACACCGATCCCTCTTTTTCATATAAAACAGCAGATTTTCTGAAATCGCATTAACCCGTGTGCCTGGCAGTTCGTTCATCTTCGGTGCAAATACTGTGGATTTGGATTAAACTTTAATCTGGAATTATCTTTATGACGCGTACAAAAGAGTAAAATCTGAAAATTATTTGCTTTATCTTACACAACGACTTCCAAAATTGCCTAATAGTGTCATGGACGTGTTCCACCAATCAACGAGTTTCGCATATAAAATTTATAATAGTTTCCCTCTAAAACGGCAGCTCATAAAGAAAATGTTTTAAAAGAGTGACGTAATTAATTCTGCGCTTTCTTGAACCTGTAGGGATTCATTCTGCTTATTTTGAAACATAAGCATGCAGACTAGCCTGTGTGTGTGTGTGTGTGTGTGTGTGTTAGGTTTGTTTGTGTGTATGTCGGTATATATATCTGTGTGTATGTACCTATGTTTGTGTGTGTACACGTGCGTTTATGTTTCAGAAAATAACTTTTGTTAGATCAATGCTGGCGTTATTCTTGTAGGTAATATCTGTGTATAGTTCATAATTTTAGGCCGACTTTGGTTAGCGATTTTATTTGATTTTAACCCATTAGAAGCACTCGCTTCTCATTAACAATAAAATACAATGACAGGCACATTATTAGCCCTAAGTCAGTGGCGTTGTTAGACCCATTTTAAGGGGGCTGAAGCCCCTCTAAAATATCTTTAGAATATACATTTAGAACAAGCGCAGACATAAACTGAACACGAATCAGCAAAACGAGTTAAACTGATAAATACACGTTTTAGTTTGTATTAGTTAAATAAAATTAATATCGTTATGATTCCCATGCCTCATTGGCTACACTAGTGTCATGTGATTAGCGCCGCGGGCATGTTGCTTTGCTGGACCAAGTTGGAGGTTGCGAGTCACGTTGGCTAGCAGCTACATGGATATAAGAAGATTTTTAAGAGAGTGAGTGAGGAGCAGGAGGAGACACACAAAGCTGATGCTGAGGAGGTCTCGACTGAGGTCAGTAGAATCCACAGAGAACACTGTGTTTTGGCTGCGCCATAATGTAACGAGGTAAAGCCGTTGCATAGGCTATGTCACATACCGTATGAGAATTTACAAACTGTTATGGTCGCTGAACTTGGGCTTTGCAACAGACATCTGAGTTCGTTTAATGTTGTTGCCTGTGTCATTGTCAGAAAGTCACACTATCAGCATTAAATGCCTGTTGAGAGACAACACGGCACCAATCCCCACTAATGACGAGTGAAAAGTAAAAAAGAATGTAATCACCGTAGCCTATGTACAGTATATAACAAGCTTGGATGAGAACACAAAACAAAGTGATGACCGTGTGCTATGCATCCCAAACTTAACTTGGGTGTTTTTCCCCTTAGCTGGTGTCTTATTGATGTCTTTATACTCTTATTTCATATTTTCTTTCTGGCCAAGCTCACTGTAGACTTAGCCAATAGCATAAAACTAAATAGTTGCATGTGATGCAAAGATATGCCAGGTTACATACATTGCACAACAAATTATTTAATTAATCAATTACAAAATAAGCTAATTTCATTAAAACAGTCATAAACTAGCCTTTATGCTTTAGTAATAGTAAGATATAATATCTAATTGATATGATATAAATTAAACCTCAGGGTTTCATCATGATTTTTTTAACTCCTTGAAGGGTGAGACAGAAAGAGAGGCTGAGGATCAGAGTGCAGTACAAGTCAGACTGAGGAAGTGAATCCAGTTTCAGAGGTGGTCGAGCAAATAGACTGCAGAGAGAAGTAGAAGAAACTGAGACAGAGGCAGGAGGTACGCAGGCCATGAGGAAGAAAAAGATCAAGAAGCTGGCTGCCGCTCCTCTTGTGATTTAGGTGATAAAGACACAGGGCCCAGACAGGTGAAGCTGAATAGCTATCCACAAGACAGCTTTGGTACACAGAAAAGGGCATTTCACCACAGCTAGTTTTGTTAGCTACACTTGGTTGGAGTATCAGTCAACCTCACGCTGCTTTCTGCTTCCTATGTAGAGTGTTTGGCAAAAACATTAAGCATGATGCTTTGGTTAGCAGTGGTTGTAAAAATTGAAAAAAAAACTTTGTCTTTAGTAAGCAACGACATGACACAGTCCCATAAGGACAGTGTTGTTGCATGGAAGGGCTATCAGGCAACGAGCCAACAGGGAGGTGTTGTTTCAGATGATGATGTCTGCAAATGCACATGAGATAGTGGCGAGAAGGGACTATCTGAAGCGAATTGTTGCAGTCACCTCAATGTTAGGGGCCCAGGGACTACCCTTTCGTGGGCATGATGAAAGTGCAGAGAGCACAAGCAGATTGTGCGGTAACTTTCTGGCTAGGCATGAGCTTTTGATGACATTTGATCCATTCCTTCAAATCACAGTCCTCCATCAAATGCCACGACACCTCAACCAGTGTCTCAAGAATGAGATGATTGAGTGTTGTGCTCAGGAAGTGACCAGTGTCATTGTGTCTGAGATCACACGCTCCAAAATGCATTCCATCATGGCGGATGAGGCAAGAAATTGTCGGTCAGAGCAGCTGGCTGTTTGTGTTGGTATGTGCAGAGGGGAGGTAAAGGAACGGTTTCTAGCACTTTCAGAACTGATGTCCTTTGATTCCCAGTCCATTGCAGACAAGCTACAGGAGCAGCTCCAGATCAATGGCCTTGCTCATGCCAATTGTGTGTCACAGACTTATGATGGTGCCGCGGTCATGAGTGGACCCATAGGAGGCGTGCAGGCACGTTTTAGAAGGCTTCATCCTGAAGCTATCTATATACACTGCTATGCACATGAGCTCAAACCCTAGTGTTGTGTCACACTAGCAAGCTGTTACGGAGGCTGTGGAGCTATTTGCTTTGTTGGAGAGTGTGTATTTTTCACCACCTCTCTATTTGAATCACCATAAGTTCAAAGATGCTCAGTCCAGGCTTGGGAGTTGGCACAGTAAAGCTTGTGCAACTTTCGCAACACACGTTGGGCATGTCGGCCTGCAAAATCAATCAATGCCGTGGCTTCAGACCTTACGCTTGGCATAGTTTGAAATGCCTCTGCGCACTAGGTCTCCCTTGGCTATTGGAATCAAAGCAAAGCTATCAGTGTTCTCAACCATCTATGCTCTCTTGATGTTTCAGATATTTCTGTCTATCACTGAAGGACTCCACAAACTCCTTCAGAAGGAGACATTAGACCTGGCAGCTCCTGATTTGCAAAGATGCTGTGTGTGATGCTCTCAAAGATAAACGCACAGATGCTTGCCACCGTATGTTTGACTACAACCCGTCTGGGGCTAAGCCCCCCCTATCTCTCAATCCTAGTGACGCCCCTGCCCTAAGTGTATTAAAAAAAAAATGTGTATATGGAAAATCAGTTATTTGGTGACTGCATTGATAAACTGCACTGATAAACAACGCTATCTGCTATCTGCTCAGGCGTGGGCAACAATCTCTTAATTCACATGCATATGGGTTTATTATTTAATTCTTAGCTCTTTACTTATTTGCATGTCTATCTATCGATCTGTCTGGCTGTCTACTTATCTATCCATCTGTCTATCTTTCTGCCACTCTATTTATCTAGCTATCTACCTTAATTTCCTCTGCCTGACCACTATATTTACATCACATTTGTCCATTTGCCTACGCGTTATCTGTCTATATTTATTTATTTTGGGTCCATTCTGACGTCGCACTATTTTTATGATATATATATTTTTTTCTAAATTTATTTCTTTCGTCTGTTCTTCAATTCGATTAATTATAAAGGAAAATGTTGATAATAGCTGATAGATAAAAAAAAAATAATAATAAAATAAAAATAAACACTGGGTTCAGGAAAAAGGTAGTACAAAATCCAATTAGTTTAATTAAAAAAAACACATAACTCATAACAAGACATATCATAAAATTGCTTATGTAATATTCAGATTACGGAATAGGAACCAATTTTGACTTTTTTTTTTTAGAGAGACTGGTTAAATATCTTCTTTAGTCGATGGCTTAGTGATCACTGAAGGCCGCAGTAACGTTGACGTCCAGCTGGGGGGTGGGGGGGGGGTGGGGGGGGGGTAGAGAACACTGGAGGAGGAATCAGCGTGAACGAGGCTTTTGTTCCGGTTGGCCTAGCCTGAAATGTACAAGATTGAGTTTGTTTTAGAAATTGGATTATCTGTCTTCCCATCTCTCTCTTTCTCTCTCTCTCTCTCTTTACTCTTTTTTCTTTCTTTTTTTTCTCTCTCTTCCTATCTCCCTTATTAAAAAATCACAGGTAAATCATTATCAAAAACCTTGAAATTACTTTGCCATTTCATTTTTTATCATGCGGATTTCATTAACAGACAGAAATACATAAATAGAGAACGACAATCAACTAGATTGATAATTGAATAAATAGGCAGACAACGACAGAGAAACAGACACTCATACCGATACGCACACACATCCATACACACCCACACAGACAAACATACACCCATACAAACGCACAGCCTGTTTAGTTACTATTACTATTTTCCTACAAGCAAACATACACCCATACAGAAAACACAGCCATACACAGTCAAACATACACCCATACGGACTCACAGCCATACATCCACAGAGACAGACATACACCCATCCATAAATCCGCCCATCCACCTACACAGACTGCACACCCATCCACCTGAACATCCTCCCATCCACCTACACAGACTACACACTCATCCACCCACACAGACTGCACACTCATCCACCCATCCTCCCACACAGACTACACACTCATCCACACGAACTAATATACCCAGCTGGTCCTTACATTCTCCCCTGTGACTCAGAGTGAGTCCTCGGACCGAACACTTGTCACGCTCCAAAACGCACTCGTTGGCGTATGTCTTGCCGTTGCTGCCACACACCGGGTCGTAGTTATAGGTACAGGCAATCCGGCAGTTACGTTTAGAAGGAGCTGAGGGCAAGAGGGCAAGTCTGTTTGTATTATCAATTCGTTAATATCATTATCGTTATTGTTATTGTTCTCATTATCATTGTCGTTGTTTTTTTTGTCACTATCATTATCATTTTTATTATCATTGTTATCATCATTGTTATTTTTATCCTTATTCTTATTATTATAATGATTATTATTATGACCATAATCCTTATTATTGTTATGGCGATATCATCGATATTATTATCGTTACTTTTTGTTATTACAAATATCATTATCACTACCATTATCAATATGATTCTATTATTATCATTATCATTACTACTTTAGTATCATTATTAATTTATTATTACTATATTATCATCATTATCGTTATTAATTTATTATCATTTTATCATTATCATTATTTTTAGTAGTAGATGTTGCAGTTGTAGTATCAGTATCATCACTTTCATCACATCATTTTTATCAACATCATCCTTATCAATCTCATCAACATCATCATCATCTTGACTGCCAATATGCCACTCAAAACAATGTAGCTATAACATTAATGATGCAATCTAGCATCAATCTTTCCATTAACACCGACACGAAGAAATAACCTTAAATACCACAAGTAACTATATGAACTATATAAATATGAACTAAACCACCACAAAAGTGAACAAAAACAATACAGATACTGAACATGCATAACAAATAATAACTGAGAGAAAGATCACACACTACTCACGGCATTCTCCTTTGCTCACGATCCTGAGTCGCGGCTTCCTGCACCAGGCCGCCCTAAGATCGCACTTACTCGGGTACGTCTTCCCGTCGCTGCCGCAGACAGCGTGTTGCGTGTTTTTTTTATATAAAGCTAGGAATGATTAAATTATATATATATATGTATATATATGTATGTATATATATACATATACATGTATATATATAAACATACACACACACATATATCTATATCTATATATCCAGTATGGGTTTATCACTTACCTGGGGGGATGGGGCTCTTGGCCTCGACAGGCGCCAGCAGTGCCACCACGAGCAGCCCGAGGGCGAGAGAGAATCTGGCCATGACTGTCCTGCGGGCGGAAGGGAAGGGAAACCACGTCAGGGACGAACTGATGTGTAAAGGTATATAGATAAATGATATTCTTACACCCATGTGCAAGTAAATATATGTAAATATATGCATATACTCGTATATATGTATACATATGCAAGTATATATATGCATATATATGTATATATATGTATATATATGCATATATAATTATATATATGCATATATATATGTATATATACATATGCATATATATATATGCATATAAATATTAGTAAAGCCTGAGTTGACGATCCCGGATTATGCAAATAACAGGTCGTAAGCCGATCTCACGGTGTAGCCGTCGGTTGGATACCTTTTCCTACAGCTGTACTCCAGTCTCCTAAAATTCTCATTACTCATTACTGAATGCATCAAGAGTCGCCATCATTGATTGACGAGACCCAGATAGGACAGCAGCATCGGTAAAGTCGAGGCCGGTGACTTTGATATTGCCCATTGTTCCTCCACAGTGTTTTTGGATAGTAGCTCTGCCCATTATACAGTCCATGCAAGTGTTGAAGTGTTGGTACAAGGACACGACTATTCTCCTTCCTGAGTTAACAGGAAAGAAGCCCGATAAGCCCCTTACCACACTTTACAGCACTTTCACCACCACTATATAGGCTTGCTATTAAGCCAATAATCCGTGTCAGAAGTCCCCTAAGTAACAGGGTCTCCCATAGCGATTTGTGATGCACTGAGCAATGTACGGAGCAGTGTGATATCACGGTAGCTACTACAGTCCCACGCCCCTCAGCTGACCAGGGGGGATGGAACCGAACTACCAGATGGCAGCCAAGACCGTATGCAAGTCTCGTGCCATAGGTTCACCCCCAGCCTTTAGCAGTTCAGCTTATAGATCGCTTCCCTAGTCTCAGTTAGGGTAGGAAGTTCCTCGCTAATGCGTGGGTCTGGTACAAGGATTATGACACCACTTGCGAAAGCCTGGAAAGCTGCTCAAAAAAAAAAAAAAAAAAAAAAAAAAAAAACATATATATACATACATATGTATATATACATATATAAAGATATTTTCTCACACACATATATGCATATGCATATACAAATATATATACATTCATATATATATATACACATATATGTGAGAATATAGCTTTTATACGATTATATATATAGATGACTGTGGATGGATGTAGATGGACAGATTATATGTACATATACTGTTATCATAATAATAACAATAATCACAGTGATAATAATAATAATGATTAATAATAATGATAAATAATTATAATAATCATTATTATTTTATTATCATTATCATTACTACTACTACTAATATTATCATTAATAATAGTATTGTGATATCATACAACTATCTTTATCACCATCCGTATCATAACGAACAAAAGTGAGAAAGATCACGAGAACAATAATGCTAACATGAAAAATATAAATATAACGTTTCATTCCAAGAACACGTTAGTGAAGTCTAACAGACAGCAACACATAAATCAAAGAGATCTGCTGAACACCCCCTGAAAACTTACCGGAATGAAAACGGATTTGAAAACAGGGAGGTCGACCGCGCACCGCAAAAGCCTGGAACCGACTGTGGTGCAAAACCCAGGGATCCCGGTGATAAAGATTTCGAATGACCAGTTTACTGACCCGCGCTCCGGCATTCTGTGGAGGATGCAGGTAGATTATTGAGTATTTGCTCCTACGTTTTTTTTCAGAATTTAAAAATTAAAATTGTCCTGTTCTGTATTAATGTTCTATATCTGTGATTTCATATGCTGAGGCTTCTTTGAACATTTTTATTATCGCTCTCCTCGTTTTTTCTCCCCTCTGCCACCCCCCCCCTGTCTCGCCCTCTCTCTCTTTCTCATTCTTCATGTTTCTTGTCTTCCTCTCTCTCTCATATCTGTGTGTGCGTGTGCATGCGCGCGCGTGTGTGTGTGAGAGAGAGAGAGAGCGAGAGAGAGAGATCTAACACACACACACACGTGTGTGTGTGTGTGAGGTAAAATATGTGTCAATGTGTGTGCGAGTGTGTGTTTGTGATTGTGTGTGTTAGTGTGCCTGTACGTGTGTAAAGTTAATGGTATTTCTCAAACAGAAAAGGATGCAAGGTCGTGAAATGAAAAAAAAAATCAAACAAAGGAAATAGAAAACACAAGAACAGGCTGGCCTAAGAGGAGGAATTTCTATATCGGTTTATCCAACTCTCAATGGATATATATCTATATATTATGTGCCATTTATTTAAGTATATTCATATACATTAATACATTAACACGCACACACATAAACACACTTGTGTGTGCAATATATACATATACGTATATATTTAAATGTATATGTATATATGCATGCAAACACAAGACCTGCAATATCTTTCATCCACGCACAACCATTATCTTGCCCTAACCCCAACCCAACGATCCTTCAGTTCTGTGTCACGTTTACCTCCGCGGGAATACCACGCCCTTCGACTATTCTGATATTTCAAACAGTGTATCTTGCCGAGCCATTTAAACACATTATATCCTGTAGCCTCGCATACCACAGGAAGACAAATGCTTGCGTGTGGGGTATAAAGCATATGTATCTGTATGTACGTATATACATATATGTGTGTGTAGGTATGTATATATGTACATATATATCAGACATGTACACCTGTGTATAGAAAAAAAGTATATAAACAAAGGAAATAGAAAACACAAGAACAGGCTGGCCTAAGAGGAGGAATTTCTATATCGGTTTATCCAACTCTCAATGGATATATATCTATATATTATGTGCCATTTATTTAAGTATATTCATATACATTAATACATTAACACGCACACACATAAACACACTTGTGTGTGCAATATATACATATACGTATATATTTAAATGTATATGTATATATGCATGCAAACATAAGACCTGCAATATCTTTCATCCACGCACAACCATTATCTTGTCCTAACCCCCACCCAACGATCCTTCAGTTCTGTGTCACGTTTACCTCCGCGGGAATACCACGCCCTTCGACTATTCTGATATTTCAAACAGTGTATCTTGCCGAGCCATTTAAACACATTATATCCTGTAGCCTCGCATACCACAGGAAGACAAATGCTTGTGTGTGGGGTATAAAGCATATGTATCTGTATGTACGTATATACATATATGTGTGTGTAGGTATGTATATATGTACATATATATCAGACATGTACACCTGTGTATAGAAAAAAAAGTATATGTATGCACAGACACACACACACACACACATATATATAGGTCCCTTCCATCCGGAATCAAATTTCCTCTTTTTCCAAAAAATCAAAATTCTTCATTGTGGTCTCTTAGCGATGTAGAAATTTCCGCACAATTCGGTTCAGACAGACAAACAAGGGATTCATTTAACTTTCCTTTGAAGAAACATTGGCAGGGTGAAATTATCGGTGATTCTGGTCCAGGAAAATGTTTAAATTAGACATTATTGTCAAAAAAATATGTTTTGCGCGTTATGCCACGTGGCTCTCCCCACCTAGGAAGTTACAATTGAAATTCCCCGTGAGTCATTTGCCAGTTTAAACACCTCATTTGAATACATATATTTTGACAATCATCTATGTTAAATGATGCATATGACAATGTGAAGAATGACATATTTTAATAGCAAAAATTGTTATTCATTAGCATCTAGTATGGAAAGTGATAAACAAAAGGATATTAAAAATCTCTTCACCTGTATATGGTTTTATTATTCAGTTATTAAATCTCTTGTTATCTGCATGTCTATTTATCTTTATATTTACCTATCTATCTATCTGTCTGTTTCTCTGTCAGTCTATCTGTCTACCTTAATTTCCTCTAGCTGATTACCATAACATTTATATCACATTTGTCGATTTGCCTACATTATGTATTTATCTTTATTGTCATATTCTGTGTCCATTTTGGCGTCGCAATATTTGTATGTAATATTATATAGAGATTTTTTTTATTGATTTCTTCGTCGGTGTTCTTCAAATCGATCTATCAGTAAAGGAAAATGCTGGTAGTAATTGATAGATTAATAACACTGGGTTAAAGAAAAAGATAGAACAAAATGCAATTGGTTTAATTTGGAAGATCATGATTCATAGCAAGGCATATCACACAAGTGCATATATAAACTTTTGGATCACGGAGACAGGTTAAACATCTTTGGTCGATGGCGTAGTGATCAGTGAAGGCCGCAGCAACGTTGACGTCCAGCTGGAGGGAGATGAAAGGGTGGGTAGAGGGGGAAGGAGAGGGGGGGTCAGAGAAGACTGGAGGAGGAATCAACGTGAACGAAGCTTTTGTTCAGGTGGTCCTAGCCTGAAATATACAAGATCGAGGATTATTTTAGAAATTGGATTCTTCCCAATCTCCCTTTCTCTTTCTCTCTCCCTTCTCTCTAAAACCTATGAGAGGATCCTTCTCACTCGTCTGCTCCACCAGATCAAACATCAAAGTCATCCATCAGTCTTTGGTTCCAAGAAGGGAAACGAACACAAATGTCAATAAAACAGTAAGTGGAAGTAAAGGAGTCTTCTTACTTCACAGAATTCATGGAAACATTCGTCAGAGCCTCTCCTACTGCAAACCTTCATGAATTTACTCTGTTAGGAGGGCAACCGTTTGCTATGGATATAGGATATTCTGTTTTCGTGAAGAGCAAAAGTATGGTAGCAAGGCACCCGCAGTGCTTATGGTGACCTAGAGTTAGGCACTCTGCAAGGTGGAGTTTTGTCCCCTTCACTATTTAACATAGTTATGCATTCTCTTTGCAAGCTCAACAGTAAGTCGAGAGGCCTATGCAGTATTACATCCTATGCTATGACATTCTCATTCAGGTCTTTGGTAAGGAGGAATATGTTCTTCAGAAGTTCAGTAAAAAATGTACTTCCCTTGCACTCATAACCTACCCTATCAAAGACTAAGCATATTTCCATATCCCATAAACTGCCATACATCCCAGGGTTAGGTGGACAAGTTATTGCAAAAAATGATATTTATGTCTCAGTGTCATGTCTCAGTGTCATGCTCCCCACCTCATGGCAAGCAAGTCACGCTTCGATCGGGATATTATTCAAAACATCAGGAAACGTTGCTTGGAACGCACAAACAACATATACACAGGTACCTCCGTAAGAGTCCCAAGGTTGATGTATATTTTCATACATTCTCTACAGACTCACTTCTAAGATTGATGTATATTGCCATACATCCTATACAGACGCACACCTAAGGTTGATGCATATTTCCAGACACACACCCGCCCACCCATACAGACAAATGCACACATACGGACTACACCCATCCACCAATCCACCCAAACGAACCCATCCATCCAAAATCATGTACCCAGCTTGGCCGTACACTCTCATCAGTGCCTTAGGGTAAGTCCTTGAAACGAGCACTTGTCACCTTCCAAAGAGCATTATTGTGTTTTGTGTCATTATTGTCAATATCATTATTAATACTATCGTTATTGATATTGTTATTATTATCATTGTAATTATTATTATTATTATTATGATTACCAATATTGTTATTATTAGTTGTCATTACCGTTATTACTATTATTATCATTATCATTGTTGTTGTTTATTATGGTTTTTATTATTATCATCATTGTTGCTGTGGTTCTTACGTCTATCATCATTAATATTTTTGTTATTATAGTTATCATTATCATGATTTTATTATTATCATTATCATTATTATCATTTTATTATCATCATTATCATTACTAATTTATTATAATTTTATCATTATCATTATTACTGTATTATTTTATTATTGTTATCATTATCATTTTATTATTTTATCGTTATAATAATAATCTGTATTAGTAGTAATAGTAATATTATCATTGTTAAAATCATTATCATCATTTTCATTATTGCCATTATTGATATTATTATCATCATCACCCTTATTATCACCAATATCATCACCATTATGATTACTAATAATCTACTCAAAACAACCACCACAAAAA